ACCACATGAAATGATGATGGTGCACTGTAGATGTGGACAGTGCGGCAGCCAAGACAAAGGAGTTAGAGCATCTGTGTTGCTGTGGAAAGTGGGTGGAGCTAAAACTCAGCCGAATCAAAGCAAGTCACTTCCTTTCTGGGCCTTGGTTTCTTCACCTGGAAATACGGATACAGGAGAGCCCAGCCAGATCATTGTCATGATCTTTTAATGCCTAATTTAACAATATTTTATGAGAATGAATTTGGTCTAAATTCTGAACCATCTCATTTCCAGGCCCAGGATGCAAGGGTACACTCTAGTTAGTTGTTAAAATGCTGAAATATTTTTATATGTTTCTGTAGCTGCAGTAAATAGCCCCTGCTCTGAACCCCACAAGTACCCACCTCCCAACCACCCTGGCCACCCCATGATCTGACAATCAAAGAGTTAACGTCTAGCACAGCGGGGACTTTCAGGGTCCTGCCCTGTCAGGAGAGCTGGCTGATAGGGCAGTGCCCAGGACATGCCAAGTACTCCACAAATCACCCCTGCCACTCTGAGGCATTAGACTTTATCAATAGCAAAAAGAAACCCCTACTGTACACTTAGCGCCATCTTAAAACCTCTGTGATGCCAAAAGAAAACGGGCTTCTGTCCTAAGGTGACCCCCTCCCCAAGCCAAAATTTTGATCAACACCTTGGCAGTTGGAGGGCTCTGAGACAAAGCATGTTCAGTTTGTTTCCATGAGATCTGGTTCATATATTCATCTCCCATAAAATGGGCTCCTATTGGAATTCCTACACATACCAACAGAGAGAGATGTCCAACGTATGATAAAGAAATAAAGCAAGATGCAAGTTACTCAGAGTATAAGCTTGAATATAAATTAAAATATACACAGAGTGATGCATTTTGTAAGTGTACTGATATATATGCATGTGTGTGTGTCTACATATGGATATACAGAGACATATGCATATATGTGTACATACACATATAGGTAGAAGTATGAAAATGAACTGTTTACCAGCCTTAGCCACTCATCTTTCATGTAGTAGAGGTGGTTGCTAATTTGGCAGGCTGGGAGGTGTGAGTGTATCTGGGAGCCAGCCATGAGGGGAGAGACAGCCTACAGGGACACGCAGAGACAGAGATACAGAGAAAGAGGCCTCAGCAAGTGAACTGGAGGATGCTGAACTCAGGCTAGCAGCTGCCTATGGAGACAGGGATGGGAATAGGACAAGTGGGGGTGACTAAATGGGTTTTAGTTTTAGTCATATTTTATATCTTCCATAACTGCAACAGTAGATGCAAACATAAGACAAAACAGTAAGTCATTTATTCTGGGTGGACGGAATATGGGTGTTTGTTATATTAATCTTTGTCTTTTTCTATATTGATTTCTCAGAAGGAAGTAAAGCTCCTATTAGTAGGCCCCCCCTATCGACACACCTAGCCCTCAGATGTGGACGGGGGAATTGTTTATGAGTTTTCCCTATTATTATTACTCTACTTTCCACTGCCCAGACTTCTCAGATCTCCCAGTTAACTCTAACTAGCCCATTGTTAACTTACAAGCTGTACTTTTTTATGATTAAAATTAAAGTCATCCATTTCTAAGTTCAACAAGCAATTGTCAAATGTTGTGTGGTGTTTTCAGGCATACTAGGCTGAGTGATCTGTGGTTTCTGCCATAGGTCGCTACTGGTCAAGTAGGACAGACATATGGTCTATCAGCAAAGAACTGATGATGTACTGGAAATAGTGTATAATAAAAGCATTTTACTAAATATTGTGCAGGACAAAAGAGGGCATGATTGAGTCTTGGATGGGCAGCCCTTGGAAGGCAATAAAAGAAGCCTATAAAGGTTTATACATAAAGAAGGGAGAAACAGTTCCCATGGAGCCTTTTTATATGCCAGTTACACATAGATCTCGACACTCACAGCAACCCAGTGATGGAGGTAGTATTATCACCATTTTGAAGTTGAGGAAACAGAGGCACTGAGAAAGTAAATAACTTTGCTGAAGCCAATGAGCAATTAAGTGGTATCACAGATTCTCATCCAGATTTGAAAATTCAAAACTGAGACTGGGGTGGATATGAAGAGACAAGGGTTTCCCTAAGTCAAAGCTGGGGAACTTCTGGTACCCATGTCATCACTCTTTATCCAAGACTGTGATGCTCGCTGGCAATAAAAGATCAAAGGTTAATGCAGCTTGAGGCATTTAGTCAAAGAATATAGTCAAACTCAGTAAAATATTTGAAGAGATTTGTTCTGAGCCAAATATGAGTGACCAATGGCCTGTGACACAGCCCTCAGGAGATCCTAAGAACATGTGCCCAATGTGGCTGGGCCACAACTTGGTTTTATACAGTTTAGGGAGACATCAGGCATCTATCAATACATGTAAGATGTAAATTAGTTCAGACCAGAAAGGCAGGACAACTGGAAGCAGGGGCTTCCAAGTCATAGGCATATTCAAAGATTTTCTGACGGGCAATTGGTTGAAAGAGTTATTTTCAATAGGAAGGTTCAGTAAGAGGTTATACAGACCAAGGTTTTATGATGCAGATGAAGCCTCCAGATAGCAGGCTTCAGAGAGAATAGATTGCAAATGTTTCTCATCAGACTTAAAGAGTCTATTCTATCAGTAATTCCAAAAAGAAGGAGGGTATAATGAGGCATGTATGGCTCCCTCCTTCCCATCATGGCCTGAACTAGTTTTTCAGGTTAACTTTGGGATGCCCTTGTTGAGAAGAGGTATGCATTCAGATGGTTGGGGGGCTTAGAATTTTATTTTTTATTTGCACTTATTTATCCTAAAGTGAGACCTAAACATAATCTGGCTTCATAAAGATCAAAGAGATTCAGGCTTAATTCTAAACAAGATGAGTCTTAGATATACCATCTCATCTTGCCTATAACTCCAGTATAACTTCAAGTTGCCTGACTTTACAATAGAGGATATTTCACTTCCACCTACGTGGACATGTTCTCCTGACCCAACCAGGGCCAAGAAAGGAAGCTCTGCCTGGGAGAGGGGAGCAGAAGCTCTGCCTGGGAGAGGGAAGCTCTGAGGACAGCTGAAGAGAGGCACCACCCTGGGTGCTGCCTAATCCATCCGACATGGGGACATGCTGTTCCAGAAACAGGATGACAATTAATAGGAAAAATCTGCTCTGCTCTCACAGCACTGCCAAGCATGTTGCAGGGTCTCAGCTGGTGGTGCGCCTCCTCAGGGAAAGAGCAATAATGCCCCATTCTTCTCTTTGGTCAAGGCCCCGATGTTTTCTCAGGTGGAAAGAGGAAGAGCTAGAAAAGCTCCCTGCATGGTAGGAAAACTTTGCATAGGCAATAATAGTGCCAGTCCTCAAAACCAGGAGCCCAAGGATTATCCAAAGATTGAAAGCTGTGCGCTTACTCAGTGGTCGTCTCATCTTCTAGACCTAGAAAGCCCTGTTTGGCATGTGCCTTATCTGTTTGCAGATAAGACATCTCCAATCTAGGTGCCTAAAAGTGGTCTGATTTTGTTTAAGTCATCTGGCTTTCAGACAAACTTCTATCCCATCTTTATAATTTGCCTGAACATGTCTTTCTCTTAGTCAAAATATCTCAGATGACTTAAGAAAAACTAGCTTGCTTTGCTGTTCCTTGATCAGGTTCATTAAGAGCAGAGAGTGCAAAGGCAGAAATCTTCTGGAAACAGGGCAATCTGTACCCATTTTTTGTTTGTTGTTTGTTTGTTTTTGAGACAGGGTCTTGCTTTGTTGCCCAGGCTGGAATGCAGTGGTGTGATCACAGCTCACTGCAGCCTTGACCTCCTGTGCTCAATCTCCCCACCTCAGCCTCCTGAGTAGCTGGGACTACAGGGTTTTCTACCTTTCTAATCCTCTCTGGGTATTTCCCTATATATCAGTGTTCTGAATTTTCAAGGAGTTATAGAGCCTTCTGAGAATATAGTAAAAGCTACGGACTAGTTTGGTTTCATGCGCAAACATTCCAACACGTGCATACAACTCAGGGGTTCACCATCCCTGTGAATGCCATTCATGTACTCTTCTTCAGTCCCTGAGCCCAAGGTCCCCCACCACAGACACAAGCTCATGCAGAGAACCCATAGAAATTCATCTATCTACACATCCTATAGTCTTACCAGATAACACCAACCTGATTCCTTGCTCAGCAACCTGATAGCTTGTCAAACCTCTTATCGTCCCTCCCTACCCACCCCCGTTCAACATCACCATACATGGAAACCCAGCTGGAAGTACATCTTGAAATTCAACTTTCTGTTTTGGAACTGGTACCCAGCCTCTTTTGAGCCATTTGGTCACATCCATCTCTGAGACCAGGCAGGTGGATGCTAATTCACCATGTTAACCCCTTTCATGCCAGTCCCCTTACCCGAGCTTTGGCAAAGAGCCACATCCCACCACCCCACCCTGCCACAGTGGTGTGGAGCACTGTATGTCATGGAAGACAGCCAGCAGATTTAGAAATCATGTTGCTCTTGGCATCCACTCTGGGACTCTGTGTAGAGCTACGTGCTGAGATCCCATTGCATGGGCAGATTTTCAATGCCGGAGTCTACCCTACATCTTGCTGTGCTGATGCCTTCCCAACACAACTTCAAAAACAATAGGAAAACCATGTCCTCAAACTAGGAGTCCATTTACTCACCAATAATGAAAATAAACCAAAGTCCCTCTTCATTTGCCCTGAAATCCAACTTCCTTTCCAAATTATCCTCATTGCATAAGCCCATCTAAGCAATGTTTATCAGCAGTCAAAGCAAAACCATGTGGATCCACAGTTTGGTTCCCACAGATCCCAACACTGCCTTCAATCCATAATTACCAAGAACAAGGGGCAAACAGGAGTTTCCACCAGTACCACTTAGACCCCATGACTGGAGGCCCTCTCAGAGAGCAATGGGAGAGTAAAACAGTATCTTTTGATCAAAAGCAATAATGTTTCCCCCCATGACACCCTTGAAAATGAAACTCCCACCTTACCCTTCATTCCAAATTTGGACCGTCGACCATACTTGTTGATCATGATGAAGAGAACCACTAACAGGACACACGCAAAAGCAGCAAGTCCAACTGCTATGGATACCTATGAGGAACCAGAAACACAGTCAGCAACGATCATGAAAAACCCAAGTTCCTTGAAAATAATGTGTGTGCCCAGATAAGAACCGTCCTACTGCCATAGTAATTGTAGCCTTCTCAGAACTGCAATACTGAGTAAGGTCTTTAGAAGAAGAAATCCGTGAGACCCTAAGAACATTTAAAGCTACATAAATTACCCAATTTGATTAGAGAAAGTTCCATGATTCAACGTTCTGAGCCCCTTCTCACCTGGGGCCATTCTGACAGATGCAAAAACAAGCCTAGAGAGGCTTCTAATTTTGTTTTAATTAGCAAGTGAATTCTGCATCTTCAGTTAAAATTCCTTATACAATATTCTTATCCAGGAAAGTCGAAAAGATCTGGACTCTAAAAAGAATCCTTTCTCCTCCTCCCCAGAGTAATCTTAGGCTCTGAAATAGTAGGAGTGGGCGCTTGAAAACCCACCCAAGGAGATGCCCTGAGCAACTTGGCTTTTAGTGGTAGACTTGTACAGTTAGCAGCCCCTGCAAATCAGGCCCCACTGGGCTCCTAACAGACTGGGGATTTTCTGAACCCTAGGGCTTGGAGCAGATCCTCAAAGACTTCCTCAAACAATGAACTATTTCCATCCAACAAGGAAGGTTTAAACTGCCTGAATGCAGTTCAATTCATTACTCTTTTTTTTCAAAGTTTCAAGTAAGAAAATACTTGGAAAAGTTAGCAATACAAATGACGTCTTAAAATGACTGTGCCAGTTAACACACTCCTCTCGACCAAGAAGTGACTCACCCCAAAAGTGTCTTCTTCTGGTTTGTGGGTCACAGTGATAGGAGGTGTGGGGCTCACTTCATCAACTGAAAACCAAACACAAAAAGGAGGAGGACAGTTAGCTTTCTGGCTGGGGAGGCTCAGCCACAGTCCCTGCCCAACTCCCAAGCTCCCTTGAGACTTCCCCCCGGAGAACATCCTCTGAAAGCTAGGCTCTTGCAGCCTGCCTTCCCTAGGCTTTGCAGGACCACCCCCACCCCCTGCCCTGCCCCCAGAGCCCAGGTTCCTATCTGACCATCTGGCTGGTGTTACACTTCAAGCACAGGCTCCATAGGAATAAAGGACATTCAGTCCCGTTCCCTACCCCCACCCCAGAGAAAATAACATAACCTGGGCAACTTGGGCCATGAGCTATGGAATAGAAAAAAGAAACATGGTTTGGGATCCTGGCCAGGGTCTGGATTAGGCAAATGTTACTGATGGTGGCAGCTGTTGCTGACATTCTGCTACTCCTTGCCACAGGCATTCCTTTTCCTCTCCCTGTCTCTCCTGTGCCCTCCCTCTTTCCTTCTTTACTCCTCAGTGAGATCCAGGAGGCCTGGGGATCCATCAAACAGCCCACTATCCATTCCCCTAACACTGATTTCAGAACACAATGGCAGCTTAAGTTAAAAAAAATAGAACCATCTGACCGGGAAACACCTTTACCCAGCAAGGCCAGGATGGGAAGCCAAGTATCAATTTCCCCCCCCCCCCCCCCCACTCCACCATCTAGAATCCCCTCCTTGACAAGAAATGGCCCCAATTCAAAACTCTCTGAAGGGATAATGTGCAAGCTTACAAGCCCTCTAAGGCTGAGGACAACTAAAGAAATCACAGATGATATTGACTTCAGTACCAAAAAGCCAAGGGTGTTTCTAAACAGCATCTACTATCTCAAGTCAGACACGGGGCAGAAATGGCAGCAGTTGCTGCTGTTATTCCCACCTCCCATGGAGAAAAAAAAAAAAAAAAGAAAAAGGAACAAATACAGGTTTCCCCACAGTCCATAAACAAAACCCCAAATTCTTTTAGGATTATCTAGCCCTAGCCCCAAATCACTTATAAACTGAGCCTCAATAACTCCTTTTGAGGACACATGAGCCTATCAGGAAACCTTGTAAGTCAAGCTCCCATGAGGCGAGTCCTGGCCAAATGATCAGGCTCTTGAAGCAGGTGAGAAACACTAGCAGGTTTATAGATTCCATATTCTCTCTGCAAGAACAACTAAGATGATCAATAGGGGTCTATTGAGGCACATGAAACCCATGTCCATCCTCACACAGCCCCTCTTTATCCAGGTAAAGAGATCCACAACATTGTCAATGTTAGAAAAACTCCCTGGGGGAAAGTGAACCACAGAGTGATTACCCAAGAAAAGTGGGCTTGGAACTGCCCAAAAAGTATTGCTACCCCTCAGTTCCCTTTCACAGTTCACTCAGATGCCCTCAGCTGCCATGGGCCAGGGATGATGTGGAATAGGAGAGAGGGCTATTTGAATTCAATAGTTACCGATAGTATCAGAATAAATCAGTTTCAAAGCAACAGGTAAAGCAGACTTACACAAGATAAAGTTATCCGTGCTCTCTGCAAAAAAAGGACAAAGAGATAATTAACAAATTTAATAAAAACCAGAACAGACACACTACATGGTCCTAATAGCTATGATCTCTCCCATTCACCATGATTCCCTGTTCCCATGGCAACTGACAAACTACAATCCATGGCACATCACCTGTCTCCCCATGCTACACTACCACTTTAGGGGGTAGTCCTCCAAAAGGAGAAGGAATGAGAGATAAAGTTACTGGTTTCAAGGGAGGTGGCCCACCTAGGAACGAGAAACCAAACCAGTTTCATTATGAGATAGGAAATTAAAACCAGACCCTCTGTCTCATTCACAGCTCTGCTTCCCTAAAGACCCAAAGTGCTGGGGATGGGGCTACAGGGTGACTCCTCTAGACATTCCTTGAAAATGCCAGGTATGATCTCAAGATAAAATTCTTCAAAGTAATATGCAGAGTTGATTCTAGTAGGTCTTTGAGAAGTTCTTGAGAATCCCTCTAGAATCTGCCCATCCTGCAGATGGTAATGTGCTATTTGATCTTTGGTCTCTAGAAATAGCTCACCTAATAATGAAAGCTAATCCTTACTGCACATTGATGAGCCAGGGACGGTGCTAAATGCTTCATGTAACACATCACTCAGTCCTTATTACCATTCTAAGAGGTGGTAGCATTATCCCCACTTAACAGATAAGAGAACAGTCTCATACAGATTAAGTAACTAATTGGATGTGACTCATTTAAGAAGAAATTAGAGCTGAATTCAAATCTCAGTCCAGGCTCTTGTCCACTCTACCAGAGATGCTCAAACTTTAGCACACAACAGAAGCAATCAGAGGGTGATTGCTACCAACATCCAATAAAAGGTGTGAGGATTCCTTGGAGAAATGGGTGATTTCAGGGCTGGACCAGGGAAAGAACAACATGTGCCTGGAATGGATTGCAATACTGAAAAAGTAAGAAAGTGCTCAGAGATTAATGGAGGCCTGGAGACAGGGCACAGAAACCAATGTACAGGGAATCTCAATGGCCCAATGTAGGATCATTTAAGCAACAAAATGATGATAGTCCTGGATTGTTATGGATTAGGATTATGTTGTCCCAAAATCCATATATGGAAACCGTAACCCCTAGTACTTCAGAATGTGACTGTATCTGGAGAAAATGTCTTTAAAGATGTATTAAAGTTAAAATAAGGCCATTAGGGTGAGTCCTAATCAAATATGGTTGATGTCCTTATAAGAGGAAATTTGAACGTAAACACACATGCACAGAGGGAAAATCACATGACAACACAAAGAGAAGATTGCCATCTACAAGCCAAGGAGACAGGCCTCAGGAGAAACCATCCCTGCCAGCACCTTTGTCTCAGACTTCCAGCCTCCAGAATTGTGAGGAAGTAAATGTGTGTTGTTTAAGTCACCCAATCTATGGTATTTCACTGCTGTGGCATTCTTAGCAAACGAATACACGAATTACCAACCATAGAACAATATGAATATCCATGAGTCCATACTGATACAAATAAACAATTCAAAACATAAAAGGTGGAAGAATGAAACACTCTTCCTTACAGGAGAATTCTGATTTTTAAACGTAGAAGGAATGATAGAAATAGAAAAATCACCATTTCACAAATACTACAGTAATAATTGTTTCAGGCAGTAATCATCAATGAATGTTAAAATTAGAGTGTGAAAGAAGGATGAGAAACAAGCTATTTATGTAGTTTAAAAACATTATACTGATGACTTACAAAGGGGAAAATCGTCTGTTTGCAGCAGAGGAAACTGGCAGACACCACCTTGACCAAGTGATAAAGTTAACACTCCCAGTACCAAAACCTATTGACATCACACACCCCCAAAACGATGCACTGAGAGGGCAGAGCATCACTTCTGCAGAGTTCCTGCCAAAGATGCATAGCCAGAATTTAATCATTAGGGAAAAAAATCGGAAAATTCCAAACGGAAAGACAGTCTACAAAAAACTAGTATTCTTGGAAAGTTCCAAGATCATGAAAGACAAACACTGGGGAACTGTCCCAGATTTAAAGAGAGTGAGATGACACAGGAGCTCAATGCAGTGTGTAATTCTGAATTGAATCCTAGACAAGGAAAAAGCATCAATGGGACAATTGATAAACTGTAATTCACATCTGTACACTAGATAATAGTGATGGACCAATGTTAACATCCTGGTTTCAATCATTGCATCATGATTAGGTAAAATGTTAACATCTGGGGAAGCTGGACAAAGGGTGGAAGGAAGTGCCTTGTATGATTTTGTAACTTTTTAAAATATGAATTTCAAACTATTTCAAAATGAAAAGTTAAAAATCTTTAAAAATTAAAAAGAAACACAGATTACTAGTCCTCACCTTAGAGTTTCTAATTCAGTAGACATGGGGTAAGTATCAAGATTTTGCATTTCTAACAAGTTTTCAGGAGATGCTGATGCTGCTGTTCCCTTTGGGATGCACTATATCATACTACACAGCCTCCTGACTCAGCCCACATGCCCTGAAAAGTAAGAGTATATTCATTCATTCATTCATTCACTCATTCATTCACTCATTGTGTGCCCTCACAGTCTTAGCTCTATTAAGTATGAACCAGCAGATATTCTCTAACTACCTGTGGGGAATAGGATAGTTTCTGTGAGGGAATCCTTCAAAAAAAGTCTTACTTATGGTAAACACAGTTCGATTACTTGTTTGTTGTCTGTTCTGTATTGTTTTGGGGGATAGCCACAGAGCTATCTTCACATTCCTGGCCATACTCTTCATGCCAACACCCTCTTCTCAATGGCAGGTGACCAGATGCCTGTTTGGGGCAGGGGGAGGATGGAGGAAATGGAAATTCTAGCCTGGGTTTCACAGCCTGAGAGAAGAGAGGGGCCAGATCAGTTCGCAGTTTACATTGATTTGCATATGTCTCATAAGGCTCCCATTTATTAGCGAATATTCTCATATTAGCCAAATGTTTTGGTCAAGGCTGTGAACCCTGTTATCTCCAAATCAGCCTATGAATGTTTAAGGACTTTGCCAGAGCCTGGAAGCATTTATACATCCAGAAAGCACATGAGCTTTGGAAGAAGGAGACATCCTGACTCCTCTCTAACCTATGGGAGGGTTCAAGCATTCAGCCTGGAAGAGGATGGTACCCAGGACTGGTCCTCACCTCTAGCTACACCAGCAGGCTGGGAGGAGCACTTGTCCAGCACACCAAGGAACAATCTGAACGTGAACTGGGGCTGTGCCATGAAGGGAATACACATGTCTCCTACAGTCCCAGACCATAACTCTTCAAGAAGGGCCCCTTCTGTAAATTAATCTTCACCACAACCTTTAAGGTAAAAGCAGGAAGGTGAAGCAATTTGCCTGACATCACGGAGCTGATAAGTGATTGAGTGAGAATTAGAGCCCTGGCAATGTGGTTCCATCACCACTAGCCTAGACTACCTTAAGATTATCTGTTAGAACTTACTAGTTTGACCAGAGAATGACTACTGGTTCTAGAACTCTTGAATTCATCTCAGTTCTACATCCTAAGAATCTTAACAATGGCCCACAGCTAGTAAGCCTTTTCTCTGTCCAGATGCACTGCTAAGCACTTGGCAGGCATGACTTCCTTTAAGCCTCATGGTAACTTAGACAGGAGACATTATCATTCCCATTTCACAGATACAGAAATAGAGGCACAGAGAAGTGATTGTCCTTCATCTAGTACTGACCTTGCACTAAGCCCCATGCTAGGAGCCCAGGCCACCAGATGAGAGGGCTATTTGGGAGGGGCCGCAGATGGGATCTGCACCTAAGTCTGTCTGATTTCAGAGTGCCTGCTCTTAGCCTCCATGCTTAGCTGCCTGGAAGCAAAAGAGAAACACACATGATAATCATGATGTTTCCACACTCTCACATCAAAAGAGAAGAGCAAGAATCACAGACCAGCTTTGCATCTAGGCTTAGCTGGGGTGAATTCGGTTTAGAGAGTTATCACGCATCTCTGCTTGCACCCCCAGATAATTGACGCTCCTGAACGTTTAAGCATCTTGTCACTTGGCATGACTGGCCCATCTTTTCCCTGTCACTGCCTTTTCATCACCCATTGATTCCTTTGACCTAGACTCATAAAACAAACAAACCTTCCCACAGGGTGGCCCTAGCAGGTTGGAGATGGGTCTGAGGAAATGACCTCAGGTGAGATGCTTTCTCTTTGAGTTTCTCTGTGACTCTATCCTCCCTCTATCGTCCTGGGGCCAGATTCCCACCCAATTCCATGGTAGTAGATTGCAAAGGAGGGAGTACTGGAGTCACCTGGGGGCTTGTTAAAACATAGCTGCTAGACCCCACCCTGGAATCTCTGATTCAGTAGATGTGAGTGGCGCTTGAGAACTTAAGTTTTAACACATTCTCAGGTGATGTGGATGGGGCTGGTCCAGGACCAAAGGTCACTTTTGAGAACCACTGGCCTGAGGCGCACTGATAACTTACTATGGTGGCAAGGGTATCCAGAGACTAACAGAAGGGGCTGCTGCACCTCATGGGGGCAGAGGAGGTATTTCTGAGATACCTCTGAGGGCTGAGAGGATGCAAAGAATTGCTTCCTCTTGAGATAAAGGAGAGAACAGAGAAGCTGTGTCCACCACATAATCCAACAGCTGCTGCCACCTCACAACTCTCAGGACACCCCTGGTAGAAGGAGCCCAGAAGTGGCTTCTCCTCCCTCCTGAGCATTCTAGGGTTCCCCCCTTTCTGGGCCCCAGAAGCTTCTCTTTGGAAACAGAAGCATTGCTTCAGGGTGCTTCATTTCCTCACCAATCGAGACTTTCCCTCACCAATGTATAGCCTTTCCTCTTTAAAAACAGATTTTATTCTTTCATCAGGCCATAGGCAGGGCAAAAACAAGGCATAAAAATCAGTCTTTTATGTCAAGAAGACCTAGCCTGCCCTTGTAGACCATAAGAGCAAAGAATCTCCGCTTTAAAAGCCTCTGCTTCCACAGTGCAGGCCAGGACTCATCTACCTGCTGAAAGAGAGCCCAGTGTGACCCAGGAAGGGAAGTGTCATGGGGGCTTTCACTGAGCATACTTGGGATGATGGAAGTTTCAGACCACGTGGGATTTCCAGGGCCTCAAATATCTGCACATTCTCAACCGCCTCTGAAAAGATGGCTCCATCGTCCCTGGGACCTCAATGGCAAGAATTTAGCTTCACATGCAGCCACATTTCTCCGACTTCACTCTTGAGGCCTCTAGTATGAGTTCCCTTGCACTGAAATAAATAAGGCCTCCTGGAGCTGCCACACCCTGGTAATTTGTAGACTGTGAAGCTGACTTCAGAAAAACAGATGCTGCCTACTGCTAGCTCTTGCTGCCTCTTCCCTTTGTGCACATGTGTGAGCATGCATGTGCATGTGTGTATGTGTCATATCAGTTTTTACACTGTATCCCATTGGAACTCCTGATTCCTAGGTCTCCTAGTCACTTCCCAAAACAAAGCACCAAGCTCAGCAAAGACCCATGGCTTCATGGACAAAACTTACCAATTGCGGAACTCACAAAAAGATGCTACAATCACTTTCACTAAACTCTTTTGGTGTTTTTATCTCCTCCAACTTCAGGAAGATAGTTAAAGCATCTTACCCCAGACAGAAAAAGACAGAATCAACTCCCAAAATCAAATCAAGCAAAGTTCTTCAGTAATTTCAATAATTTTTCCTGGTCCACTTGACATTAGCACTACTATACGCTAAGGGCATCAGGTATGACCCACAGTAGCTCACTATAGAACAAGAGAGGAATGAAGCCACAGACCTCGGGGCCTAGATCCAAGTCAAACCTTGCCACAGATCAGCAAGTAGAATGAGGCTCAGTTCATTCATCTGTTAAATGGAGGGTTAAACTGGACACACTCTCAAGTCCTTTTCAATGGAAAGTCACGGAACCATCATCAGGTGTCAAACCCTGTGACGTGCTTTATATACCTTGACTCATTTAAAAGTCACAGGAGCAGTGTAATCATGACTATTTCATAGAAGAGGAAATTGAGGCTTAGAAAAGCAAACTATCAGGCCCAGAGTCTCCCCACAAGTAAAGGGCTGGGTCAGAATTCTCTACCATTACTGTCTCTGCTTTCTCTACTATCATATAGTATGCTCTAACATGCACAACTGTTATTTCTAAGGAGTCTTGGTTTTTACCATGATAGCTATTGGAAAATTGAGACTCTATCCTTGTTTACATCAGATGCGGCTGGTGGTTGCACATGTTCCAGTGTGTGTTTTTTTGCCCATAATAGCAATATGAGTACTGATGCTGCTTCTCCTCTCAAGCTACCATGCCCCACCTCCTAAGCTTGTAGAAAGAATCCATACACCTCTGAGCCAGCTACACTGCCCTCACCTGGAAAGGGCTCCTTGAGGAAGTGGCCATTGATGGTCTGGTTGGCTGTACCCAGTGGGTTTTTGGCAATGAGGGTATAGTTGCCATTGTTGTAGTGGGTGGGCTTGTTGAAGAGCAGGCAGCCCTCAGAAATCTCTCCCTCCTGGTAGTATTCCACATGGATGATCTTGGACTCCCGCAGAGGTTGCCCATTGTGCAGCCAGTGCAGTGTTGGTGGTGGGTTGCCACGCACCACAAACTCGATGCAGTGCTCCAGGCGCAGCTCAGGCTCCTCCAGGCTCACCACGCGTGGGGGATCTGTCAAGGGAGAAGCCAGCTGAAATCCAGGACACAGAGTCTACCACCACCCGCAGTAGCCGTCCAGCAACTAAAATGGGAATCCCAGTTCTTCCCCACCCACTCTGAAAAGGCTGAGGGAAGCAGAAGTCCCACCACAATCCCAGCAGAGGGGAAGAAATGTCTGTCTTCATCCAAGCTTCCTAGATCCACCTTAGCTGGAGGGCTCCCTCTTGGGACCTCTTAGGGGTTTAATAAAAGGCAGAATAGGCCAACTTAGAAGGGTCCTGAAGATGTAGTTGAGTTGGAGCCACACCATTGTCTGAGGGACAAGGGTGCTTATTCTGGAGTTTTTAATCCAAGGACTTACTTCTCAGTCCTGCGCTACAAGAGTCCTTCTGTCCCCACTGGTAAACCAGCTCACTGCTCTAGCTCAGCCCTGGCAACACCTTGGCCCCTCTCCAGCCTCCTATGCCAGCTCTTCCTCACACACAGCCATCCCCCACAATAATATGCACTTACAGTAGACAGTGAGGGCAACACTGGCATTGCTCATGCCCACCACATTCTCTGCAATGCATGTCAGGGTGAAGCCATTGTCCTCACTCGTCACATTCACCAGCGTCAGGTTGATGGCATGAACATTGGTCCAGTTCAGATTGGTCTGAAAACCCCAATAAAAAGGTAACAATCAAACAGCCTCTATAAAGATGGCTCTGCTACCTAATCCCCAAATACCTTTAGGAATCAAAAGGAAAGCTGAGCAGAAGCTGAAGGAGATCTTTGTGTGAAAGCACACCTACCAAATGCCAGGCTTCTCATAGGCAATGGTTCAGGCCATCCTCCTATTAACCCTATGAGGTGAATGGTAGTTCAATACTATGCCCATTTCACAGAAGCAAAAACTAAGTTACAGAGAAGTTGAGTAGCATGTGTAGAGCAGAATGGCTAGAAAATATTGCAGCTGCATGTAACTCAAGTCTATGTGTTTTCTCCTATAGTAACAAGACCACAAATTTTCCCTCTTCTTCAAGACTACAATGTGATCACTCCCTAACCTCCTGATGGGGCTCAAGCCCAGGATGCCTACCTGGTGAGTGTTGATGGACTGCAGCCCAGTGACTATCCAGTCCACATCAGGAAGGGGTGATCCAGAGCCATTGCAAGTGATGACAGCATTGTCACCCTCTCGTACGGTCAGGTTGACGTGGCTCACGCTGATCTCAGGAAGGTCTGGGAGCCAGACAAAGTGGGTGAAAAGACAGGCAAACACTTACTACCCAAAGGAAGCTCTGTCCATAGGCCTGATGGTGGCACTTCTTGCCTTGCTCAATAATGACTCTAACACCACCTGCTTGGGTTCTTGGAAGACCCACAAATCCAAGACGCTTTCCATCACCTCCCCAGTAGACATCAGAACTCAGAATTGAAGCCCGTGCAGCTGTAGTCTCCCACATTGCAGCGGGAGGTGGAGGGGTGGGGGCAGTGCTCAAGGAATGCATTTCTGGCAATTAAGCTCAATGGCATCATTACACTTTGGGTTCTGGTTATCTAAATAATAGTGTTTCAGTCTCCCATTGGGGAACTTGCTTAAAATTCAGATTTCTGGGACCCATCCCTAGACATTCTCAAAGTCTGTGGCTGGGCCCAGAAATCTGCTTTTCTAGAAACTCCTTAGAAGGTGCTGCCACAGGGAGTCCAGAGACCACATTTTGAGATACACTCCTTCAGGTCTGGTTGACAGGTAACTCACAGAGAGAAAGGGAATCTGGTATGATGAGAAGGAGCATATTTAACTCCTGTCTGCATTCCTGAAACCAGTCGTCCTATGGCTCGTGCAAAAAGGGACAGGAATGACCAAGAAGGGGAATGGTTAATCAGGAGATCTGCACACAACTGCAGAGTTCAAGGCTGGAAGGGCATTTCGAAAGGAAGGCTCTGGCATCCCAAGGTAACATCCACCACCATCTCTGGTGTCTGAGGGATGCCTCCCTGGAGCCAGCTGGGCCAGGCGGCCACTCACTCACCACACTGACTGATGTTCATGCGGAAGAGAGGAAGCTGGGAGCCATCAGCGTTGATGCAGTAGAGGTTCTGGTTGTTGAGCTTGGCCTCCCCCTGCTCCTGCCACAGCTGCATCCAGCGGATGTCACAGCTGCAGTTGAAAAAGTTCTGCTCCAACCTCCTGTGGGCAAAGAGAGAGGGGAAGGGAACCTATGAACCGAAGATGGCTCAGGACCTTCCCAGGGCTATGAGGACAAGAGGGACACTACCTGTTCAAGAATTAAGGGGAGGCGGGATTTAACAAGGTTGCAAAAGAAGTGGAAAAATCCTTGTAAGTCCATAAATTATAGTTTTAAAACAATAAACTCAATTTGTTAAGAAAAGAAATCCAGCCAAGCGCGGTGGCTCATGCCTGGAATCCCAGCACTTTGGGAGGCCAAGATGGGCAGATCACAAGGTCAAGAGATTGAAACCATCCTGGCCAACATGGTGAAACCCCGTCTCTACTAAAAATGCAAAAATTAGCTGGGCGTGATGGTGCACACCTGTAGTCCCAGCTACTCAGGAGGCTGAGGCAGCAGAATCGCTTGAACCCAGGAGATGGAGGTTGTGGTGAACCGAGATCACACCACTGCACTCCGGCCTGGCAACAGAGCGAGATTCCATCTCAAAATAAAAAGAAAGAAAGAAAGAAAGAAAGAAAGAAAGAAAGAAAGAAAGAAAGAAAGAAAGAAAGAAAGAAAGAAAGAAAGAAAGAAATCTCAAAATAAAAAGAAAGTTGTTGTTGTTGTTAAGAAAGTTGAAGTTGTTGTTGTTGTTGTTGTTGTTGTTGTTGTTAAAAGAAAGAAAGAAAGAAAGAAAGAAAGAAAGAAAGAAAGAAAGAAATCCACCCCACTTAATGCAACTGTCTAAGAGATGCTTTTAAGGAGACACCAGTGGATCACACCTGTAATCCCAACACTTTGGGAGGCTGAGGCGGGCAGATCACGAGGTCAGGAGATCGAGACCATCCTGACTAACACTGTGAAACCCTGTCTCTACTAAAAATACAAAAACAAAAAATTAGCCGGGCGTGATGGTGTGCACCTGTAGTCCCAGCTACTGAGGAGGCTGAGGAGGGAGAATGGCATGAACCCAGGAGGTGGAGCTTGCAATGAGCCGAGATTGCACCACTGCACTCCAGCCTGGGAGACAGAGCAAGATTCTGTCTCAAGAAAAACAAACAAACAAACAGACATCAGCTCGAGATGCTCCTCTTCTCAAAACCCTCCAATGGCCTTCCATCTCACTGAAAATCAAAGTTAAAATCCTAAATAATCTGCACCATTCTCCATCATCTCCCTGACCTCATCTTCCCTCACTCCCTCCTCCTCTTCAGCCACACTAACCTTGGTGTCTGAAAGGTCACCTGCTTGACTGGTTTGTTCCTACCCCAGGACCTTTGCACTTGCTGTTTCCACTGCCTGCCAAGCTCTTACCCAACATCTCTACAAGGCTGGCTCTCTTAGTCTAATACTGCCCAGTCCCTTGCCATGCTATATTTGTTTTTCTAGAATTTATCACTACTGGCATCACTTCAAATATTTATTTTTAATTAGTTTGTTTATCTGTCTCCCTGAATAAAAATTAAGCTCCATTGAGGTCAGCAACATTGCCTGTTTTGTCCATTCCCTAACCTAGAACTGAGCCTGGCATATAAATTATTGTTAAAGGACAGAGAAAAAGAGAGAGAATGAGACTGGCTGACTCTCCCTGGGGGAGTAGGTGGTTATCTATTTCCAAGATATGCTCAAAGCCCTTCCTGAGACCAGCTTTATTCTTCCATAAATCCAATAAATTTTTAATAAGCACCTGCTCCATAATTGGCCATGGGCTGAGTGCTGCTGACACAGAGATGAAGAAGACAGTCGCTGTCCTTCAGGAGCACTCAGCCTGGTGAAGAAGAATGTTTGATAGGGGAAGAGTCACCTTCAAGGACCTCCTTCTCCACTGATTTTCCTTGTGACTTGAAGCAAGTCACCTCCCCTCTCAATGGGATTATTAAGGAGAGGATGAACAGCATTAATCAATCCAAAACTCAGAGTAAAGAGCACCGGATAAATCTGAATGCTTGGATCATTAGAGGAAACATGATTCTCTTTCTGGACCATCAAGGAGATGAATCTGTTGGAACACACAGGGAGGCGCACTTGGGCACACCACACTAAGACCTAGGATATTTTTGACAACTGGCAAACTCCAAAATAGTTAAGCATGCATCAAAATTAATCAGCTTTCAGGAAAATGTGAGGCCCCTGGGGAAAGGAATCAGTGCTTTCTAGTTACTAAGACACCAGAGGCAGAATGTGTAAATACCCCTACATGGTATCATCCTCTTAGCCTAAAAGTACTCTCTGCACATGGTACTCTATCAGAAAGGTGAAGGAAACGGAAAGAACTCTTACTGAGCCATTTGCTTCTTACAACAACCCTGGGAGATGGCCAAAATTGCAAGGAGGGAGGGGCCCTCTCTGATGTTTGGAGAGGTTAAGTTACATGTGCAAGGTCCTTTGGCTGGTGTGCAACACAGCACAGTTTCAAACCTCAGTGTGCTGGACTTCAAAACTCATGTACTCTCCACCCCATCTGTCATGTGCAAGGCATTGCTGGGTGCATGGGAGAAGCAGAGCGGAGCAAGCTAGGAGCCCTGTCTTCAGGAGCTCATGTAGGCAAAGACCAGGTTGGCGGGGGGACGTGGCACGGGGGCTGGGGGTAAGTAGAAGGAAGTAACAAAGGCAAAGGGAAGTTGAAAGTAAGGTGTGAAAACAGAAAAGAAAGGCTTAGCAGGACAGAGAATGTGTTGAGGAGTGCTGGGAAATAAAGCTGGAAGGGCGAGTGGAAGCCAGATAGTAGAGGACTTTTACTGCCACATCAGGAAATTTGGAATTTATCCAGGAGGCAGAGGAAAACCATTGAGGCCTCTAGAACTGGAGAACAATATGAACAAAGAAATCTGTAAAAAGAGAAATCCAACAATAAAGTACAGGATAAGCTGGAGAAGAGGAAAACTAGAGACTGAGAAGCCAGTTAGGATTACTTATAAACAAAGGGTCAACATGTACAGTTGTGTAGTTTGAGCATTTCTCAAAGTACTCAATCAAAGGGATAAACAGAGGATAAAATCCACTCTGCACACTCTTGGCCAGACCCAGCTGTAACCCTGACCCACAGCTACATGCATCCAGATGCGGCATCTTTTCTAACTCACACATAGGCACCATATAGACTGGCAGGGTCCAGGTCAATTCTCAAACTCTTAGTTTCAGAACTCCTTTCACTCTCCCAAAAAAATTACTGAGGGCCTCAAAGAGCTGTTGTTTATGTGAGTCATATCTATCACTATTTACCAATTAGAAATTAACCCTGAGAAAGATGTAACACTCCAGAATACATTAGCACAAACTCCATGCCTCATCACAGCCATGATGTTATCACGTCCTGTGGCCTCTGGGAAACTCCATGGTACGCTCATAAGAGGATGAGAGTGAAAAAGGCAAATAATGGCTCAATGTTGCTATGAAAATAGATTCTACTTCACGGTCTCCTGAAAAGGTCTTAAGGCCCCCCAGGTCACCCTGGATCACCACTTGAGAACTGCTGCCTAGTTAATACAGGTCTAGAGTGGAGTGAGAAAAATTGAAGAGAGGGAAGAGAAGATCCAGTAAACATCACAAGGAAGGCAAAATGGTACGTGGTGCTTTGTAGGGGATAAAAGAAGAGGAAAAAGTGAAAGATGATCCCAAGATTTTAAGCTCCAAGAGACAGGAAATCAATGGCAGGGAGAACTGTCTTTGGTTCAAAACAGAAGAGAAAGAACCAGCGAAAAGGAAGAGAGGACACATTAGAAATGAGGTTGGGATGGGGGTGAGGCTGGGGAGGGAGAGATCAAGGTCTTAGAAGGAGAAAGGGAAGGATGAGGTCAAGAAGCCTTGGAGGTGTTGCCTTGGGGTTATGTCAAGATGCCTGTGTGACTGGACATGAGACACAAAAACAGAAAAGGTAGGCAGGAAAAAATGAGAGGGAAGTAATAGACATTATAGGATCATAATACTAGCATCGCACTCGCCATAGTGCCAACTCTAGACTAAATGCTTTCCACGCATTATTTCACTTAACCCTCACGAAAAGGAGAGCAGAAGGTCAGATGAACTGCCCAGTGTGTGCAGGAAAGAGAGGCTGGAGGAGGTGGTGCGGTGTGGGCTCACACTGTGGGGGCTGCAAGGAGAGGCCTGGCCACCCTGCTGGAATGACAAAGAGGGTCCAGATGCTTGAATATATGCGAACTGAACCAGGTCAGCCTGGATTTTCCCAGCTGCTCACTTGACAAGATGCAGTCATTCATTATTAAGTAGGTGTAAAAATACAAATTATCCACCTGGGTGGAAAAGACTAGACAGGCGAGGGGCTTGGCTGCATTGCCGCAAGTCACACAGCACTTGATGTGGTGCTGCCTCCTGTCTGGTCCCTGCACTGACTGCTGCACATCCCAGCATCTCATGGCCCCCCAAAGGCAGACAGCATCAGAATGTCCTGAGGCTGGCCGGAGAATTAGGTGAGATGTTTGGAATGTGCCAAGGATGCTGCCAGGCAAAGGCTTTGTACAAATTTTCTGCTTCCTTCCATCCTTTTCCCCCAGGGTCCTGCTTACAGGACCTGATCCAGCAGCTGGGATGCACCCTGAAACCTGGTCCTTTGTTCCAACTGAGTTTACGGGAAACTGCAAAAGACCTGTGGGGCTTTCCCCCCATCCCTCTGGACTGTCCCCCAAGAGAACAAGACACACACACAGTAGAAAGCATTTTGAGTCTTAAAACAATGACACCCTAGACAGCCCACTGAGCAAATCCACAACCATCTGTATCTGGACAAGAGAGGATTCAAATGGTGAGGTGGGCAAGAAGCAAAGACCGGCACATCCTAAGTCTAAATGATGCTGTCCATCTTGTGTCCCTCCTCCCATTGAACCAGGTCTCAAGCAGGGGAGCCTTTAGCCTGGACTTTGGGGGCAGTCCTGTGGAACCTAAAGCATGGCTTTCCAAGCTTCATGAATAATGCAGGTGGTTCCATGAATAATACAGCAGCAGCTGCTGCAAGGCAAAGCTTACCAACATCCAGCCCTTGCCCCAAGATGGCCTGGGGTGT